ATCAAGGTATAGTAAAGGAATGAGTTTAGAAGGTTCTTGAATATTAGTTTGCTTGATGAGACCCAGCGATGAAAGCCTGGTGGATATAGTTGTGGAATTTAGGTTAGGTATCTAGAATGTTGGGTAAGCTTGCGGAGAAGTACATGTTAGTTAGGATTTGATTAGAACTGCTAAGCATATGGATTTGATTAGAATGATCTAGGCAATAGACTAGAGAATGTTGTGAGTTCCTTTGTTTTTCAAACCTCTTCCACGGGTTCGGCTTTTGTGTTTTACTTGAGAGCAAGCAAAAGCTAAGTTTGGGTGAGTTGATATAAACCTATCTTTTACTGCTTTTAGCTAAGATTTAGGTATTAGTTTTAGAGTTTATTTGTTATTTCTAAAGTCTTTTCTACTCCTTTTCAGGTTATTACATGTTTGGGATTCATTTGGAGATAATGGAGCATTCTAGAGGAAAGAAGAGAATATATGTTGTTGAAGAAATCCGGAGACTAAAAACCGCGTAGGTGTCGAACGACATCACCCCTGGTGTCGAGCGACACCAATACCTGACGGCAATTTGAAGACGCAACTTATTGATGTTTTGAAGATTTCCAAATTCTGCCTAGAACTTTCTCCTATTTATAATCAAGGCCCAATACGTTTTTAAGACATATATATATATAGCTTTTAGCCACTTCAAAAACCAATATAAAAAACTTTGATCTCGATAAAACTACACGTACTTTCAGATTTGTTCTAAAACCTACGCCTCCAATTGAATCGTTCAGTTAACCGATAATTATACATCCGGTTTGATTTACCCCGAATTTAACCAAAATTAATCCGATTTTGACTCTATTTTAACCCAATTTTGACTCTATTTTAACCCAATTTTGACCTAAATATGTAAATAAATTGTGTTTTTAAGAAGAAAAAGTATTTTTATTGATTTTTATTTGTAATAAACAATTAAAAATAATAAATTATAACTTATTTTTAGCGAAACTTAATATGACAAAATATAGCCCAAATTCTATTTTGAGCTATATTTTGTTATAAATTTTTGATAATTTACAAACATATAAATTTTCCTTTTGGCAATCAAATTTTTTTAATAAATTTAAAGCTATGTCTTTTTATGAAACAAAATATTCATTTTTCTGGCAATCATTTGACCTTTGAAATTTATATATAATGAAATTCAATATAAGCCAAATTCATATATATATATATATATGTATTTATATATCCATAAATACCACAATAAAAGTATATATTATGGTATTTATAAATTTATTTTTCTTTACAGATTCTATTTTCTATTTATATATTCAACAGAAGTTATATATGTATATATATATATATATTATGGTGTATATATATTCGGTATATGTTTTTATTACCAAAATATATACTAAAATTATATTATAGAAAACATTTAATTATATAATTTTGTGTGGTATATTTTGTTATATTATTATTTGGTAAAATTTATTTATTTATTATTTTTAAGTTTTAATAAAAAAATAATAAAAAAAAAAGTTTTGTTTTAGAGAAAATATTTTTTGGGTCAAAATTGGGTTAAAATAGAGTCAAAATCGAATTTCTGGAAAAGTCAAACCGGAAGAATTTCAATCGGTTGTTTGATCGGTTCAATTGGAACCGTAGTTTTAAGAACAAATCCGAAAGTACATGTAGGTTTATCAAGTTTAAAGTTTTTTTTGGTGGTTTTTCAAGTGCCAAAAAGTTTGGGGTGGAAAGCTGAGATTATAACTAGTATAGGGCTGAAACTTCAGGCAACCTGTCTTCATTTGAAGCATGCTTGGAGAACCTTTGCAAGGTTCTGGCTAGATGTGAAGAGAAGAATTTGGTTCTTAATTGGGAGAAGTGTCATTTCATGGTAGGTATAGTTCTTGGTCACAAAGTTTCAGCTGCTGGTATTGAGGTTGATAAAGCCAAGATAGAGGTTATGACAAATTTACATGCCCAAAATATCGTGAAATCTGTGAAGAGATTTCTTGGACATGTTGGATTTTACAGGAGGTTTGTCAAGGATTTCAGTAAGATTGTCGGGCTACTAACAGCTTTGCTTCGTAAGGATGTGAAGTTTGACTTCAATTCTGAGTTTCATGCTGCTTTTAATCGGATTAAGTAAGCCTTAGTGAGTGCTCCAATAGTTCAAGCTACGGACTGGAATTTATCTTTTGTGATGATGCAAGCGATTCTGCAGTTGGAGCTGTTTTGAGACAGAGGAAAGGCAATAAACTTCACGTTATCCACTATGCTAGTAGAACACTTGATGATGCACAACGAATTATGCGACAACAGAGAAAGAATTGTTAGCTGTGGTTTTTGCTTTTGAGAAGTGATATAACCCTATTTTTACTACTTTTAGCTATGATATAGGTATAAAGAAAGTAAAGATGTATTTTCTCCCAGGCACATTTCTCGAGAGACCACCTTCGCAATTGGTTTCCGGCACCGGTAGAGCCCTTGCTCATCGGCGCTGGGATCTCTCTCTCTTTAATCGATCTTCTCTCACGCTTCTTCCCTTATGGTTCTATCTCTTGCTTTGGTTTTCTTTTCACTCCTTTCAGAAACTCTCCCTAATATCCAAACTCTTGTCCGGCGACGAACTTGAACTCTTATCTCCATTGGCCGTCAGATCCCTTAGCTCTCACCCTTTCGCGATTCTCGCAGATCGAGTCACTCACCGTTCCGCCTCGCAAGCTGCTTCTCCATCCTCCTCGCAAGCTGCTTCTCCATCCTCCTCGTCATGGAATTCTTTATCAAGTGTTCTACTCGGTTGTGGCGGAACCAGAGGCTCGAGTTGTCGCTGGAACCGATGAATCTTAGTTCGGCGGAACAATCAACCAAAGTAGACGTTTTATCTTGTTCAGCAGCAGCTACAACTCGGTTAGCTTTTGTCACTATTCTTCTGGTTTGGCTTCTTAGCATCATCTCCAATCTGCCGCTGTTGCCATTGAACAACACGAAGAAGGAGCTAAACCTAATGTTGCTTTGTCTCTCTCTTAATGGGCCTAGCCCAAGAAGTTTCTTCTTTCCCTGAAGCCCAAGACGAATCCTATCTCAGCCCAAGTTTAAACTAATGGGCTTAAGCCTTTATTCTTTTTGGTCCTGGTTTGATCTCTCATTTCTCTTGCTTAGTCTAATGCTAGAACTATTCTACTCGTTCACGGAAGGCAATGGACACCTTTTTGTTTCAATAGCAATGGTTTTAGCTTGGTCTTGTCATTATCATTCTCGAAACCTACTAGATAGATTTTTTCGATTGATTTTTGTTGGAAGACTTTTTTCCTCCCAATGCAATACGCCTGTTAGAGTAAATAAGTCCGACATTATGATCCCGCCTCTATGGAGTAGGGATTACTGACGCTTTTTCAACTCTCTTTCCCCATTACCTCTGATTACCAAGCTCTATCACGCGACCATCATTTGTTTGGATAATTTGCAAACTTTTGTTAGTTTGGGAAGTCACGACATTATGACCCCATCTCCAAGAGGTGGTTACCGTATCTCCTTCAAATTGTTCTACCTTTTAGCATCTCCCGTGGAGCACCTTCTCAAAGGCTCATATGCATTATTTGCAATAGCCGTTTATGACCACAAGTTGGTCGAAGATATCGCGAATCCCGTCTTCATGGTCGAGCGACACCAATACCTGACGGCATTTCAAAGACGAAATTTATTGATATTTTGAAGATTTCCAAATTCGGCTCAGAACTATCTCCTATTTTTAATCAAGGCCCATCACGTTTTTAAGACATATATATATAGTTTTTAGGTCAATGTTTAGACCCTAAGCTTGGAGAGGCTATTCTCCTTTTCTCTTTTGTTTTTGGGAGCCAAAACCTTGTGGAGACTCCCTTTTGAGAAGATCTTTCTAAACTCTATTCTCTTATCGTTTCTTACTTTGATTTCTACTTTATACATGTTTTGTTCTTTCATAATCATGTCTAAGTAGTTCTCTTGGTTGGTTTAGGGATTCTTAGTTAGAGATTTGGATGAATTAGTAGATCGAAAACCCAGTTAAGATAATATATTTAGAATTCTTCATCTTAGATTGTTCTTAATGCTAGTTTTAGAGTAACTAACTAGAACTTGATTTTAGGATAATAGGTTTACCCACCATAGGTATCTATTACTGAAACTATCTTAGATGAGCTTTAAATGCGTGCTAGCGTCGATTACTTAGGTGAACTTATCAAACTTGATTATAATGCTTGCTTAGTTCTAGGGATTTACAAGAAAGTTGAGATCAATACTATTAAGCATAGTGAGTAGCACGGCACACCCCCAGTTACATTATATTAGTGATTTGTGTTTTAGAATAGTTCGATAATATTCATAATTTACTGCTAGATCTACTATTCTGATATTTTTTGAGAATTTTCCTAAACCCGACGCCTTAATAATCTTAATCTACAACCAATCTGTTTATTGCTTTCTTGTCTTTTACTTTTATAATATTTTCTGTTTAGCTTTATTCGAAACTATTAGTTTATTGTATGATCCGAGAACTTTATAGAATTCGATCCCTAAATGCTATAACAACCTCTGTATTTGAGGGAGTAGTCATTAGGGTAATTTGACTCATATCACTGAACTCCCAGAACATCCTCATGTTGTATCCCTCTTTTTTTTTGGTTAAAATTGTATAACTCAATAACTTTTAGACCATGAGGTCAAACTTGGCATGTAATACCTTTTTGGAAAGCCCAAAGAGATCCGTCCGACGAAAGAAGCAGGAAAATGGGTCGAGGTACCATTTTTTTTTACTCCAAATTTTGACGTTTAGGTAATTTTTCTGATTTTCCCGTGATCTGTGCTATATTCAGGGCCCAAAATATTTTGTTCCAACATTGTTTTTAAATATTTTTGATGTATCAAACCTCGTTAAAACTAGGTGGGGTATCTCTATGTAGTGGCTGGGAGCCACGACAAATTGTTCATAGTCTTCAAAAAAGGATAAATACAATTGCACAGCATGAACTAACCGATGCGATTATACCAGCACTAAGGCACCAGATTCCATGAGAACGTCGCACCTAAGCGTGCTTGAACGATAGTAGTATTAGGATGGGTGACCTCCCAGGAAGTCTTTGTGTTGTATCCTTTTTTTTTGGTTAAGATTATATGATTCTATTACTTGTAGACCATGAAGCAAAACATGACATTTGATACCTTTTTGGAAAGCCCAAAGAGAACCCTCCGACGAAAGAAGCAGGAAAATGGGTCGAGGTATCATTGTTTTTTTTTTACTCCAAATTTTGACTTTTAGGTACTTTTTCTAGTATTTTAATGATCTGTGCTATATTACCAGCCCAAAATTATTTGTGAAGACGTTGTTTTTGAATGTTTTTCATCTATAAAAATTCGTTAAAATTAGATGAGGTATCCCTACGTAGCGGGAGAGACCCACGACGAATTGTTCCTAAAGTCTTCAAAAAAGGATAAATACGATTGCATTGCATGAACTAACGGATGCGATCATACCAGCATTAATGCACCATGTCCCAGGAGAACTCTGTAGCTAAGCGTGCTTGGGCGAGAGTAGTACTTAGGTGGGTGACCTCCTGGGAAGTCCTCGTGTTGCATCCCTCTTTGTTTTTTTTGGTTAAAGCTGTATGACTTTATAACTTTATGACCATGAGGCCAAACTTGCCGTGTGATACCCCTCCAACGAAAGAATCAAGACAATGGGTCGAGGTATCATTGTTTTTTTTAACTCCAAATTTTGACCTTTCGGTATTTTTCGGGTCTTTGCATTATCTGTGTTATATTACAGGCCCAAAATATTTTATTTAGACATTGTGTTTGAATTTTTTTCATGTGTTCAAGCTCGTTAAGACTAGATGGGGTATACCAACGTAGCGGATGGGACCTACGGCGAATGGTTCCTAGAATTTTCCAAAAAAGATAAATACGATTACATTGCATGAACTAACGGATGCGATCATACCAGCACTAATGCACCGGATCCCATTAGAACTCCGCAGCTAAGCGTGCTTGGGTGAGAGTAGTACTAGGATGGGTGACTCCTATGAAGTCCTCGTGCAGCTTCCCTCTTTTTTTTTTTTTGGTTAAAACTATATGAATCTATAACTTTTAGACCATGAGGCCAAACATGACATGTGATAACTTTTTGGAAAGCCCAATGAGAGCCATCCAATATAAGAAGCAAGACAATGGGTAAGAGTACCATTCTCTTTTTTTTACCCCGAATTTTGACCTTTAGGTACTCTTTTTAGGTCTTTCCATGACCTTTACTATATTAGGGGCCCAAAATTATTTGTTCGAAAATTTTTTAAAAATATTTTTCAGGTATCAAAGCTCGTCAAAACTAGATGGGGTATCCTTACGTAGCGGGTGGAACCCACGGTGAATGGTTTGTAGAGTCTTCAAAAAAGAATAAATATTATTGTATTGAATGAACTAACGGATGCGATCATACTAGCACTAATGCACCAGATCCCATAAAAACTTCGCAGCTAAGCATTCTTGGGGGAGAGTAGTACTAGGATGGGTGTCCTCCTAGAAAGTCCTCGTGTTGCATCCCTCTTTTCTTTTCTTTTTGATTAAAACTTTGAGACTTTATAACCTTTAGACCATGAGGCCAAACTTGCCATGTGATACCGTTTGGAAAGCTCAAAGAGATCCTTCCAACCAAAGAAGCAGGACAATGGGTCAAGGTACATCTATTTTTTTTTTCTCCAAATTTTGACCTTTAGGTACTGTTTGGGGTGTGTCCGTGATCTGTGGTATATTACGAGCCCATCAGAACTCTGCAGCTAAGTGTTCTTGGGCGAGAGTATTACTAGGATGGGTGACCTCTCAGGAAGTCCTCGTGTTGCATCCCTCATTTTTTTTTCCGGTTAACACGATATGACTCTATATCGTTTAGACCATGAGGCCAAACTTGGCATGTGATACCCTTTTGCAAACCCCAAAGAGATCCCTCCGATGAAAGAAGCAGGCCAATGGGTCGAGGTACCATTGTTCTTTTTTTTACTCCAAATTTGTACCTTTAGGTACTTTTTTTGGGTCTGTCCGTGATCTGTGGTATATTACCCGCCCTAAATTATTTGTTCGGATATTGTTTTTGAATATTTTCATGTATCAAAACTCGTTAAAACTAGTTGGGGTATCCATATATAGCGGCGGAACTCACGGCGAATGGATCCAAAAGTCTTCAAAAAAGGATAAATATGATTTTATTGCATGAACTAACGGATGTGATCATAGCAGCACTAATGCACCAGATCCCATCAGAACTGCGCAGCTAAGCGTGCTTGGGCAAGAGTAGTACTAGGATGGGTGTCCTCCCAAGAACGCCTCGTGTTGCATCACTCTTTTTTTTTTTGGAAAAAATTGTATGACTCTATAACTTTAAGACCATGAGGCCAAACTTGGCATAAGATACCTTTTTGGAAAGGCCAAAGAGAGCCCTCCGACAAAAGAAGCAGGACAATGGGTCGAAGTATCATTGTTTTTTTTTACTTAAAATTTTGACTTTTAGGTACTTTTCGGGTGTTTCCGTGATTTGTACTATATTACAGGCCCAAAATATTTTGTTCGGACATTGTTTTTGAAAAAGTTTCATGTATCAAAGCAAATTAAAACTAGATGGGGTATCCCTACGTAGCTTGTGGGACCCAGTGCAAATGGTTCCCATAGTCTTCAAAAAATGATTAATAGATTGCATTGCATTAACTAACAGATGCGATCATACCATCACTAACGGATGCGATCACACCATCACTAATGCACCAGATTCCATGAGAACTTCACAGCTAACCGTGCTTGGGTGGGATTAGTAGTAGGATGTGTGACCTCCCAGGAAGTCCTTGTGTTGCTTCCCTCTTTTTTTCTTTTTGGTTAAAACTGTATGACTTTATAACTTTTTGACCATGAGGCCAAACTTGGCATCTGATACCTTTTCGGAAAGCCCAATGAGAGCCATCCTACAAAAGAAGAAGGACAATGGGTATGAGTACCATTCATTTTTTCTCCAAATTTTGACCTTTAGGTACTTTTTAAGGTCTTTCCATGTTCAGTGCTATATTACGGGCCAAAATTATTTGATCAAACATTGTTTTCGAATAATTTTCTTGTATCAAAGCTCGTTAAAACTAGATGGATATCCCTACATAGCGGATGGGACCCACGGTGAACGGTTCCAAGAGTCTTCAAAGAAGGATAAATACGATTGCATTGTATGAACTAATGGATGCGATCATACCAGCACTAATGCACCTAATCCTATCAGAACTACGTAGCTAAGCGTGCTTTTGTGAGAGTAGTACTAGGATAAGTGACCTCCCTGGAAGTCCTCGTCTTGCATTGCTCTTTTATTTTTACTAGATGAGTACCCGCACCACGTGCGGGCTTTCACTTTATATTTCGTAATCTAAAAGTATTTAAATATGAAATTTAGGTTAGTTTTTTAATAGGTAAGAAGACAGAATTCCTATTTGATACTAAGCTCCATAAATCATCATTTTTTTTTGCATTTTGCATTTAAATTCCTAACAAAATATTTTCTTAGTAAACATTATTTTCAGAATTGTTTTCATTTGTATCAACGTTAAACCAAAAAAAAAAAGACAATATGCGAAGAAGATCGGAGTACCCGCTCTGAAATTCATGGTGGTAGTATTTAAGTAGGAAAATTAAGCATTGATAATCGGGTTGTCGTTTCGTTTAAATAAAAAGGGTTATTAAGTTATAGTAAATAGGCAAATAGAACCAAACCTTGATAAGCCTTATTAATTTTTTGAAACATAAATGTAAAATAATTTTCTTCTTTTAATTTTCATTGTTGCCACTTTTGCAAAAACAAAACAAAATAATACGAATTTTATAACTGAAAAACTCTATAACTGAGGATTTGAGTCCAAAAATTTAATATATTATATAGAAAAAGAACAACCTATGGAAACTATTAGCTAATCCACTATAAAATTATTTAATCATATTTTGACTTAAAATGATAAAATTTAGGGGAAAATATCCAAGAGTATGAGAATCAATTAAATAATTTAATTTAAGAAAAAGACATACAAAATAAGAGAAAATTATTTTTGATACAATTAATTATGTAAACTTTTATAAAATATACAAATAAATAATAAATTACCATAAACCATTAACTTACCTTAATTATTAAGTGGACATGTAGCAAAAGCTAAGTGATGATGTGTCATTCATATAAAGAGAGTTTGCCAACTTTCATATATATGATTTTTGTGGTTAAAATTGTATGACTCTATAATTTTAAGACCATGAGGCCAAACTTGGCATGTGATACATTTTCGCAACGCCCAAAGGGAGCCCTCCGACTAAATAAGGAACAATGGGTTGAGGTACATTTTTTTTTCTTACTCCAAATTTTGACCTTTAGGTGCTTTTTTGGGTCTTTCTGTGATCTATGCTATATTACAAGTCCAAAATTATTTGTTTGGACATTCTTTTTGAATAATTTTCATATTTCAAAGCTCGTGAAAACTAGATGGGGTATCCCTACATTGGAGATGGGACCCACGCTGAATGGTTCCAAGAGTCTTCAAAGAAGGATAAACACGATTGCATTTTATGAACTAATGGATGTGATCATACCAGCACTTATGCATCAGATCCTATCTGAACTGCACAACTAAGCGTGCTTTTGCGAGAGTGGTACTTGAGCCCATGAGGCCAAACTTGGCATGAGGCCCTCTTTTTTTTTCTTTTGGTTAATTTATGACTCTATATCTTTTAGACCATGAGACCAAACTTGGCATGTAATACTTTTTGGAAAGACTAGGGCGAACCCTCCAACGAAAGAAGCTGGAAAATGGGTCGAGGTACCATTCTTTTTTTTTTACTCCAAATTTTGACTTTTAGGTAATTTTTCGGATTTTTCTATGATCTATGCTATATTACCGGCCCAAAATATTTTGTTTGAATATTTTTTCTGAATATCTTTCTTGTATCACAACTCGTTAAAATTAGATCGGGTATCTTTATGTAGCGGGTGGGACCAACTGCAAATGGTTCATAGAGTCTTCAAAAAAGGATAAATACGATTGCATTGCATGAACCAACATATGCGATCAAAACGTCGCATCAGAAAGTCGCAGCTAAGCGTGCTTAAACGAGAGTTCTACTATGATGGGTGACTTCTCGGGAAGTCCTCATGTTGCATCCCTTTTCTTTTATTTGGTTAAGATTATATGACTCTATTACTTTGACACCATGAGGCCAAACTTTGCATGTAATACGTTTTCGGAAAGCCCAAAGAAAGCCCTCCGATAAAAGAATCAAAAAAATGGGTTGAGCTACCATTGTTGTTAATTTTACTCCAACTTCTTAATTTTACGTAATTTTCGGGTCTTTCCGTAATATGTGGTATATTACGGGCCCAACATTATTTATTCAGACATTAATTTTTAAGTTTTTCATGTATCAAAATTCGTTAAAATTAGATGGGGTATCCCTACATAGCGGGAGAGACCCACTTCGAATGGTTCCTAGAGTCTTCAAAAAAGAATAAATACAATTGCATTGCATGAACTAACAGATGCGATCATACCAGCACTAATGCACCGAGTCCCTTTAGAACTTCGCAGCTAATTTTGCTTGTGTAAGTTTAGTACTAGGATGGGTGACTTCCCGGGAAGTCCTCGTTTTGCATCCCTTTTGTTTTGGTTAAAACTGTGTGACTCTATAATTTTTAGACCATGAGGCCAAACTTGGCATGTGATACCTTATCAGAAATCACAAAGAGAACTGTCTAACGAAAGAAGCAAGACAATGGGTCAAGGTACCATTGCTTTTTTACTCCAAATTTTGACTTTTACGTACTTTTTCGGGTCTTTCCTTGATCTATGTTGAATTAAGGGCCCAAAATTGATTGTTCGGACATTGTTTTTGAATATTTTTCATGTTTCAAAGCTCCTTAAAACTAGATGGGGTATCCCTACATAGCGGGTGAAACCCACAGCAAATGGTTCCAAGAGTCTTCAAAAATGATAAATATGATTGCATTGCATGAACTAATGGATGCGATCATACTAGCACTAATGCATCGGATCCCATCAAAACTACGCAGCTAAGCGTGCTTGGACGAGAGTAATACTAGGATGGGTAACCACCAGTGAAATCCTCGTGTTACATCACATTTTTTGTTTTTTGGTTAAGACTTTATGACTTTATAACTTTTAGACCATGATGCCAAACTTGGCGTGTGATACCTTTTCGGAAAGCCCAAAGAGAGTCCTCTGACGAAAGAAGCAGGATAGTAGGTAAGAGTACCATTGTTTTCTTTTACTCCAAGTTTTGACCTTTAGGTACGTTTCGGGTCTTTTCCGTTATCTGTGCTATATTACGGGTCCAAAACTATTTGTTTAGACATTGTTTTTGAACATTTTCATGTATCAAAGCTCGTTAAAACTAGATGGGGTATCCCTATGTAGCGGGTGAGACCCACGGCGAATGGTTTCTATAGTCTTAAAAAAAGGATAAATATGATTGAATTGCATGAACCAATGGATACAATCATACAGTCACTATTGCACCGGATCCCATTAGAACTCCGCAACAAAGCGTTCTTGGGTGAAAGTAGTACTAGAATGGGTGACCTACCGGGAAGTCCTGGTGTTGCATTCCTCAATTTTATTTTATTTTTTATTTAAACTGTATGACTCTAAAACGTTTAAACCATGAGGCCAAACTTGGCTTGTGATACCTCTTCGGAAAGTCGAAAGGGAGCCCTCCGACGAAAGAAGCAGTACAATTGGTTGAGGTACATTGTTTTTTTTACTCCAAATGTTAACCTTTAAGTACTTTTGGGGTCTGATCTGTGATCTGTGCAATATTATGGGTCAAAACTTATTTGTTCAGACATTGTTTTTGAATAATGTTCATGTATCAAAGATCGTTAAAACTAGATGGGGTATCCTTACGTAGCGGGTGGGACCCACAGCGAATGGTTACTAGAGTTTTCAAAAAAGGATCAATATGATTGCATTGCATGAACTAACGAATACGATCATACTATCCATCAGAACTCTGCATCTAAGAGTTCTTGGGCGAGAGTAGTACTAATATGGATGACCTCTCGGGAAGTCGTCCTGTTCCATTCCTCTTTGTTTTTTTTGGTTAAAACTTTATGACTATAACTTTTAGATGATGAGGCCAAACTTGGCATGTGATACCTGTTGAGAAAGCCCAAAGGGAGCCTCCAACAAAAGCAGCAGGACAATGGGTCGAGGTACATTTTTTAGTTTTACTCCAAATTTTACCCTATAGGTTTTCTCGGGTGTTTCCTTGATCTATGCTATATTACGGGCCCAAAATGTTTTGTTCGCACATTGTTTTTGAATATTTTTCATATATCAAAGCTCGTTAAAACTAGATGGGGTATCCCTAGGTAGCGGATTGGACCAACGGCGAATGGTTCCTAGAGTCTTCAAAAAGGATAAATACGATTGCATTGCATGAACTAACAGATACAATCATTCCAGCACTATGGGACCGAATCCCATCAGAACTCTATAATGACGAGAGTAGTACTAGGAGGTGACCTCCCGGGAAGTCCTCGTGTTGCATTTAACTTTTTTTTGGATCCACAACCAACCGATTGGATGGATCCAATCAAACTTTATATAGCTGATGGAGAAGTACCAGTAGATCGGTGGGAGGCTTGACATCTAAGGACAAAAGTCGCGAACTACATCCTTCATGAGGGTGAACACAAAGGAAGCTATAGTTATCATGAAGGAAACACATGACAGAGATGTTGGAAATCATTCTGGTGGACGTGCTTTGGCACTCAAGATTAAGAAAGAATGTCATTATTGGCCAACTATGCTAGCCGACTGTGAAGCATATGAGATAAATTGCGAACCATGTCAGCGGCATGGTTAGATGAAATATATGTCGCCCAAAATGTTTAGTGATGTGACAGCGTTGTACCTTTTTATGCAATGGGCCATGGACATCGTTGGACCATTGCCCCCTTCACGTTCAAAGAAATACTTGCTGGTGCTAACTGATTACTTTACTAAGTGGGTCGAAGCGGAGGCCTACCACGAATTGAAATCCCTGCAGGTTGTCGCGTTTATATGGAAAATATCATATGTCGACACGGTCTTCCCTATGAGATCTTAACGGATAACAGATCGGTTCGTCTCGCTTATCATAAGGCAGTTCCTCACCAAGTGGAATATACGCCTTAGCAATTCAACGCCGAGGTATCTGATATATCCCTATTTTCACTGATTTTATCTAGGTCTTAGGGTTAGGATTTTGAGTCTTTATGTTATTTCTCGAGTCTTTTTAGTGTCTTTTCAGGTATCCTATGCATTGGGACAACAATGGAGATGAGGAGACATTTTGGAGCAAAAACTAAGAAAAAGGAAGCTAAGGAAGATTTTCAGTTCCAGATTAAGAGGAGTGTCGATCGACACACTACTAGTCTCGATCGACACACTACTAGTCTCGATTGACACTAGTTTCGGCCCAGCAAAGTCCCAGATGCTTTCAAGTTTACAGAAGAGGAAATTTGCCCCAGAAGACTTCTCTATTTACATTATTAATCCTTAGATGTTTTATAGGGTTTATATACATTGTTTAAACCTAAGTTTTGTTTATCAAGTTTTTATCAAGCTTTTTGCAAACCCTGTTTAAGAGAGACATAACCTATTCATCGATTGTTGTCAGAGATTGATTCAGTTCCTAATACAATGAAGAGATCCCTTCTTTCCCTTAATCTGTTTGTTGTGTTTATGCTTTCATACTCAATAATGTTGTTTGCTTTAATCAATATGTCTGAGTAATCTGCTTGTTAGGAATAGGGTTTCTCATTAGGGATTCATATGATTTAGTAGATTGCCCCCTTGCTAGGTTATCTATAGGATTCTTCATCTTTAATTATGCTTAATGCTAGATCTAGAGTAATTAACTAGATCTTGAATCCAGACAATAGATATGCCCGCCATAGGTATCTGTAGTTGGATCTATTATTTGATGAGGCTGGTTTATAGGTGTGTAATAAGAATCGGCCTATCTACTAAGGTGAACAATCGAACTCTTTAAGAATGCATTTTTAGGTTGATAATTTCTCGGCTTCTCCGGTTATTCTTAGCTATAGAAATAGGGAGTTTCGCGGAACGCCACCGGTTATTCCATAATTAGAGTTTGAGTTTAAGAATGGTTCGATAACACCCTAGCTTTCACTAGATCTACTAACCAATAGTTTCCTAAGAATAACCTGTTCCTAGCTCTTTATTTAATCGTTTACAACCAAATCAACTTGCTGTTTTCTTACTTTGTTCTCTACTATTTCATTCATCACCTACCAGCTTAATCTTGACATTGAACTCATTATTTGAACAAAAGAACTTCGTGAATTCGATCCTTTAATACTGCAATTGATCTCTTATTTGAGAGAGTAGTTCTAGGGTAATTTGAACCTTATCAGTGACCTCAAGGAAACGGACCAACGGAAGCCACGAATAAAATAATCATAGCGAAAACCAAGAAAAGACTCGGGCCAAAGAAGGGAATTTGGGCAAACAAATTGGATGGCATACAATCAAAACGTCAAAGAACGCCGCTTCAATGTGGGCGATTTCATCCTTCCCGAAGTCTTCAGTAACACAAAAGAGAAGAATGCCGGAAAACTCGGAGCTCGTTGGGAAGGGCCTCACATGATCTCGAAGGTGGTTCATCCTACGGTCTACCTAATCATGACTATGAAGCTCGAGGAAGTGCAAAACCCGTGGAACGTAGTCCACCTAAAGAAGTATTATTACTAGCCTCTAGTTTACTTTTGCAATAAAAGAAAAAGAAAAAAAAAAGATCGGTACTCTGATCTCCTATTATGTAACTTGAACTATGAAAGGCTTGATCCCTTTAAGGGTGATAAGTAGGTTTTTACGCCTACTTATGTGCTGAAGTGTGATGTGTTCAGTTCAATTCCCCTTAAACACTAACATGTCGATGCAGCTATAGGGGGTGTCAATCCAATCCACTGTTATTGCTAGCAATCAAGATGTGTACAGAAGCAACTAAGTCAAGCCAGATTATAGAGATGGTTGGTTTCTAGTAACAATCTTAGGTCAGGATTCAAACAACAAAAATAAAAACTGAAAAGCCCTACTCGATCATTGGGTCGAGTAGAACCGACAGGCAACAAATTTAAGTACTAAAATGCAATCAACAGGTGACACAAATAACAGGTAAATAAAAGTGCAAACATGGGGTGAACACAAATAAATCTAAGAAGAATAGAAGTCCTAAGGATGGATTCATTGATAAGGGCAACTCTAGTGTTCATCAGGTGGCTAACAGGTGAAAGGCAAATATCGTAGACGATAGATTCAAAAATCGGGTCAATCCACTCTCGTGAAAGAGACCCCCATAACTCTAACACTTCCTAATCTCAACTCTCGTTCATGAAACATAGCAGAGCAGGGTTTAAGTAACAATCTACCAAAGCCAATAAGCAGTCTAGCCAATCTCTTTAGTCGTTCACATGTGTGCCCTCACGTGTTAAGCTTTGACTAACCCAAAACCGAAGACCTTCTTTCTTGAACAGAGGCTTCCTATACTTAAGGATAATTTGCATTTGGGTCACTTATTCACACATTATTTGGAATGATCAATTACAAAGGTTGGAAAAATGCTGAGGGTGTCGATCCAGTATGCGAGTTCCCCTTTATTTACTCTCTAAAAAGAATAAATCTGGGAAGAGAAAGAACACCAAAGAAAAAAATATATATAAAAAAATGGTCAATTTATTATGGTATAGTACAGGAATGAGTCTAGAAGGATCTTGAATGTTAGCTTGTTTGATGAGACCCAGCGATGAAAGCCTGGTGGATATAGTTGTGGAACTTAGGTATGAAATCTAGGATGTTGAGTAAGCTTGCAGAGAAGTACATGTTGGTTAGGATTTGATTATACTTGTTAGGCATATGGACTTAGTTTGGATGATCATGGCAATAGGCTAGAGAATGTTGGGAGTTCCTTTGTTTTCAAAACCTCTTCCACGGGTTTGGCTTTTGTGTTTTGCTTGAGGGCAAGCAAAAACTAAGTCTGGGGGAGTTGATATATCCCTAGTTTCACTGATTTTATCTAAGTTTTAGGTATAGGATTTTGAGTCTTTATGTTGTTTCTTGAGTCTTTTTAGTGTCTTTTCAGGTATTCTATGCAGTGGGACAACAATGGAGATAATGAGATATTTTGGAGCAAAAGCTGAGGAAAAGGAAGCTAAGGACAATTTTCAGTTCCAGATTAAGAGGAGTGTCGATCGACACACTCCTGGTGTCGATCGACACCAGTTACGGCCGAGCAAAGTCCATGACGCTTTCAAGTTTACAGAAAAGGAAATTTGCCCCAGAAGACTTCCCTATTTGCATTATTAATCACTGGACGTTTTATAGGGTTTATATACATTGTTTTAGACCTAAGTTTCTTTTATCAAGCTTTTTGCAAAACCCTGTTACAAAGAGACATAAGCTATTCATCCATTGTTTTCAGAGATTCATTCAGTTTTGAATACAGTGAAGAGATCCTTTCTTTCCCTCATCTTTATTGCTGTGTTTATGTTTTCATACTCAATTATGTTGTTTGCTTCAATCAATTTCTCTGAGTAATCTGCTTGTTAGGGAATAGAATTTCTCATTAGAAATTCATATGGTTTAGTAGATTGCCCTCTTTTCTAGGTTATTTATAGAATTCTTCATCTTTAATTATGCTTAATGCAAGATCTAGAATACTTAACTAGATCTTGAATCCAAACAATAGATATGCCCACCATAGGTATCTGTAGTTTGATCTATTATTTGATGAGCCTAGTTTATAAGTGTGTAATAAGAATCAACCTATTTACTAAGGTGAACAATCGAACTCGTTAAGATAAAAATAAACAAACGAGAAGTTGCGATAAGAAGATACCAACATAAAAAATAACTGTCAATCAAAAAGTTATGATGAAACCACATGAATGAAAAAAGTAACCGTCAATATGTTAACAGACACAATTGTTTACGATGAAAATACAATTTTATGAGAAGTTACTATAAAAAAGACACTAACAGAAAAAATAACCACCAATGTTAACCAAAAGTGACGATGAAAAGAAATGAATGTAAAAAAGTAACCGTCAATATTTTAACAGACACAACTATTTACAATGAAAAGACATGACTGTAAAAAACGTAACTGTCAAAATTTTAATAGACACAACTATTTACGATGAAAGACACGATTGTAAAAAAGTAATTTTTAATATTTTAACAGACACTACTGTTTACGATGGAAATACAGTTTTACGAGAAGTTACGATAAAAAGACACTAACAAAAAATATAACCGTCAATGTTTAGAAGAGATGCTATTTTTAGAAGAAAATTATTTATTTACTGCTACTTTTGTCAATCTCCCTTTTTTGCAAGAAAAAATTTTGGCAGAAAAATTTTGATATAAATATTTTGTGGCGGAAACATATTTGTCAGTAATTTTTGGTGATTAATTCATGTATTTTTTGAATCTTTTTGTTTTGAATTTTAATAATTAAAATTAAAATATTTATTTGAATACTATTTTTGGAATTAAAAACTTTTGATTGCAATCCTATGGACCCAATAAGATCATACTCACCATCGTATGGATATAGAAGTATAGTATCTACTCTACCTTTGGTTAATAAAGGACTTATTAAAAGAGTAGGTTCAGGAGCGTCAATTTTGGTATCGAATGACCCATGGATACCTGCTCAGTCCCTTTGGTATGTGCATTACATTTGGGCTCACCAAATAGACTTGATGTCATGGGTTGACATTTTACAAAATCCAGAAAATATACCGTAAAGTCTGACTATTATACAAAAAATGATGAAGTAAGGTGGAAACCAAAGTCGCTTCTCTGGCCCAAATACCAAGCCTTCTCAAGCCTACTTTTGGAAAGTTCAATGTCCACAGAAACGAAGACATTTTATTTGGCTAGTTACTATAAAAACTTTATATAAAGTAATAATACTAGGACTGTAAAATTTATTAATTTAGAGAAGTATTAATTTATAGAAAGATTTTTCTAATTTAGTAACTTTTTTAATTTTTCTATGAAAATATATAATTGATATCTCTATAATTTGCATAATTTAGGCTTTCATTCTTCACCTCTTTGCCATTGTTTCATCCATATTTTATCTCATTAGTAGTTAATTTAGTATGTTTTGCATACTTAGGACGATTTTGCATTAGGATTGCATGTGCATTGCATATTGGATTGCTTTCAGGTACTTTAAATGCTTTTTGTGTTCAAACAGAGGAGAAATTGAACAGAAAGTCAGGATGCTGAATTATACCCTCAGCCAAAGTACTCGATCGCAACCTTAGAGGCCTAATAAGGGAAAACACTCGATCACAATTCCGGAGAAGCTAGCAGCTCATTTTCACTCTATCGCGAAGCCAAAGGAATCACCCACCAAACCACTCGATCACCAGCAAGCCCATCTACTCATTTTACACAGAAAAGAAGAGAAGCTGAAGAAACCACTCGATCACAACCTCAAGACATCCACTCGATCGCAAGGTCGCTGGACCATTCCATCTTGTCCACTCGATCGCAAGACGGAGTCCTTGAAGCCCAGTTTGATCCATGACATACTCAATCGCAGGGAGGCCCATTTTAGCCCATCAGATGCTCGATCGCTGCGTCCCAACGTGAAGATTACTATCTATCGAGTTTCCTATTTGTTTCATTTCACTTTTATAAATGGCATCTAGGGGTTTTCCCTAGGGTATCCATCCTTTATCTTATTATCATCTTTTTTGCAAACTTTTGTAGCCACAGAAATCTCCGGCGATTTTGTAGTCACTTTCAAGTATTTGATAGTTCAGTTTTCGTTTCATCCTTTATCATGTTCTCATTTGTTGCATTGCTATTGTCTTTTATTACGTCTGAGCAATGAACTGTATTTCTGAGGATGGGATAGAATAGTTGTGGTGTCCTTAGTCCCTCTAGGTGGTTGAGTTTAGAATATTAGAGTCTCTTCTGGATTAGTTGCGCTTATTGTTTGTTCCTTCTTGATCAACATGAATATGAATCAAGATATTCCCGCACTCAGAAGGTGTTTGATGGAATGTCGGATCTATTAATTCCAATGATATTCGTCTCTATCCCAAGGGATTGGCCGTTTAGAGCGGGTATTGGCTTTAACAAATTGATGTTATATAGTCTACTTAGTTAGAAATCGCTACTGGTGATTAGGTCGGTGTCTAGCTCTCTGCTTGAGGATTTGATGCACGGTAGTGAATTAATCTGTTGTTGAACTTGTTGTTTCGGGATAACATCGGTGAAGTTTTGTCAACCGTCTAAGTAGATTAAGGAGACCACACTATTCGATTACCCCATCCTTAGGAATCTCTCATCCATTTGATTGTTTGTTATCACTTTTGCTTTGTTATTCATCTCCCTTTTATTGTCATTTCATATTTTAGTTTCATTTCATTTCTGTTATTGCACATTAAGACTGTTAGAAACCAACAACTCTCTGCTTGGCTTGACTTAGTGCATTCTTATCATATCTCATTTGTTTGCATCACACGAGATTGGATTGACAACCTAAAATAGTACAACGACACGATAGTATTTTAGGATTAATTGATACGAAACACCTATTATCAATTTGGCACCCTTACCAATTTGGTGTTTGTTTGCTATATTTGAGATCATTAGAATTGGTAAGATCAACTTTGTTTTTGTTAGAAAAGATACTGTCATTTTGCTTTTCTCTCTTTGTGTTTCAGGTACCCAGCAACAGCTTTACAAACTCATATCTAATAGGTCTGCTAACGCTGAGCTAATACCTGTTGTATGCATACACGTTCACAAGGAAATCAAAAACGTCCTATTCAACGATAACATCAACCGTATTGCTCGCCAACAGAGAGAACAGACAACAACAGACTAAATGGCTGATGTTGTAGATGAGCAAGTGCAACCCAATAACATTGGTGCTGGTGACTTTCCACACAACCCCAACCAACGTCATGGCATTGTTCCACCTCTAGTATAGAACGACAACTTTGAGATCAAAACGGTCTCATTGCAATGGTTCAAGGGAACAAGTTTAATGGCCTGCCAATGGAGGATCCGCTAGATCATCTAGAAGAGTTTGAAAGGCTCTGTAGCCTTACTAAAATAAATGAAGTCAGTGAAGATGATTTCAAGCTTCGCTTGTTTCCCTTCTCACTTGGAGACAAAGCCCATCTGTGGGAAAAGACGCTACCCCAGAATTCAATCACAACCTGGGATGACTGCAAGAAAGCCTTCTTGGCTAAATTCTTCTCCAACTCCAAAACTGCAAGACTCTGGAATGAGATATCCAGATTCACTCAAGCAAACGGAAACCTTTTGTGAAGCTTGGGAACGCTTCAAAGTTTATCAAACCAAATGCCCTCATCATGGCTTTAAACAAGCTTCTCTTCTTAGCACACTCGCACCAGCTCTAAATCTGATGACAAGCACCGAAGAGAGATTAAAGTTCTCAATGACAAGCTAAACAAACTTCTCCAAGTGCAGCAGAAGCATGTTCAATTCGTCTCAGACGATGAACCATTCCAAGTTTAAGAAGGGGAGAATGATCAGTGTGCTGAAATCAGCTATGTTCAGAACCAACGTGGCTACAACAAGGGATACAACAATTATAGACCAAACCCAAATCTGTCATACCGAACCACCAATGTAGCCAACCCACAAGACCAAGTCTACCCTTAGCAGCAGTAGCAGCAACAACCCAAACAGTTTGTTCCTTACAACCAAGGCTAGGGGTTTGTTCCAAAGCAACAGTTTAAAGGAGGATATAAACAACAACAACAACCACCACCTGGTTTCCCATCACAACAGCATCAACCACATTCACCTCAGGATTATGATATGAAAACCATGCTCTAGCAGATCATTCAAGGACAAGCAACATGAGCAATGGAAATCGCAAAGAAGATGGCCGAGTTAAACAACAAAATCGACCACAACTACAATGAACTTAACAACAAGTTCAAGTCATTGAGCACTAGGATACGATATATGGAAGGCATCCCCGATTCACCATCTATTACCTCCAACCCAGGCTAGCTTCCAAGGAAAGCAATCCAGAATCCAAAGGAGTATGCCATTGCCCATGCAATCACTATCAAACATGATCGAGAGCTGTCAACTTGACATGTCCCTACATCACTCACTAAGGACAGTGTGATTCAAGTGGGGGAGGATTTTTTATAAGGATGATGTTTTGGCTCACAATCAAAGAGCACATACTCAACAATCAACCCACTCGACCACAAGCTCCACCAGCTACTAACTCTGTTGAAAAACCGGTAGCTACAAAGACCAAAGATACAGTCTTCGCGCCTTACAAACCTCTGCTTCCATTCCTTGGTCGATTCAAGAAAGTTCTAGTTAAGAAATACCAAGACCTCCTAAAAAAACAGATAAATGATCTTGAAATCACTATGCCTTTAGTGGACTATCTCGCAGTGATACCTGACTCTCACAAGTACATGAAAGACCTAATCACAGCTGATATAACCCGATTTAAACTGATTTTATTTATGTTTTAGGTATAAGATTTTGAGTCTTTATGTTTTTCCTCGAGTCTTTTTAGTGTCTTTTCAGGTATTCTATGCAATGGGACAACAATGGAGATAAGAAGACATTTTGGAGCAAAAGCTAAGGAAAAGGAAGCTAAGGACGATTTTGGTTCAGGAATCAGCGAGGAGTGTCGATTAAATTTGACAGAAGATCAAATTTTCTCCAGAAGACTTCACTATTTGCATTATTAGTCCCTGAACGTTTTTAGGGTCTATATATATTGTTTTTAGACCTAAGTTTCTTTTATCAAGTCTTTTTCAAGTTTTCTACAAACCCTATTACTAAGAGACATAAGCTATTCATCGATTGTTTTCAGAGTTTCATTCAGATCTATATATACAGTGAAGAGATCCCTTCTTTCCCCTTCTCTATTTACTGTGTTTATGCTTTCACACTCAAATATGTTGTTTGCTTCATCCAATATGTGTGAGTAGTCTCCTTGTTAGGAATAGGGTTTCTCATTAGGGATTCATATGGTTTAGTAGATTGCCCCCTTTGCTAGGTTATCTGTAGAATTCTTCATCTTTAATTATGCCTAATGCTAGATCTAGAGTAACTAACTAGATCTTGAATCCAGACAATAGATATTCCCGCCATAGGTATCTGTAGTTGGATCTATTATTTGATGAGTCTGGTTTATAGGTGTGTAATAAGAATCGGCCTATTTACTAAGATGAATAATTGAACTCGTTAAAAATGCATATTTAGGTTGATAGTTTCTCGACTTCTCCGGTTATTATTAGCTATAGATATAGGGAGTTTCGCGGCACGCCCACCGCTTATTCCATATTTAGAGTTTGAGTTTAAGAATGGTTCGATAACAACCTAGCTTTCATTAGATCTACTAACCAATAGTTTCCTGAGAATACCCTGTTCCTAGCTCTTTATTAAATCGTTTACAACACAATCAATCTGCTGTCTTTTTACTTTGTTCTCTTTTATTTTCACTTATACCCTGCTAGCTTAATCTCGACATTTAACTCACTGTTTGAACAAAAGAACTCCGTGAATTCGATCCTAAAATACTGCAATTGATCCCTTATTTGAGGAAGTAGTTTTAGGTAATTTGAACCATATCAAATTTGGTGACGTTGCCGAAGTTCTTGGGAATCATCATTGAGTTTTGTTTAGAGATTTCGTCTAGTTTTTACTTCTATTTTGTTACTCACGCGTTTCTTGTTTTCTTCTTTTCTGTGTTTCAGGTGTATGTCTAGGCAAACAAGGAGCACAAAATAGAAGGAGCTTATCAACTTGTCTGTTCTGGACTTGGGAAAACTTGAACGCACCAACCGAAAAACTCAGAAATTAGCAATGGCTGACAAAGTCATCAGAGCTGATGTAGAAGGAGTTTTGAGAGATGAGGATGGGCAAACCAACAATGAAGCGGGTCAGAGATTGGATGATCATGGACTCATCCTACCTGAGGACGCCAATGAGGATCAGGCGCGCCTCAATGCGCAATTAGCTGCTCGAGATGCAGCAGGACTCGGTGTCGAGCGACACCAACTGGGAGTCGATCGACACTATCAGGAGCAACACGTGAATGCAATCGGTGTCGAACGACACAACAGAGGTGTCGATCGACACCAACACCAGATTCCTGCAGTTGCGGAACCACGTCGTACACTTGGGGATTTCAAAAGGCCAGACTTGTTTTATGCTAATCGATCAGCGATTGTACCCCCACCATTCCAGAGGAACGACTATGAGCTGAAGCCTGGCTACTTTGCTTTAGTTGGCCATCATCCTTTTCATGGCTTATCTCATGAGCAGCCAATGGATCATATCAAACGATTTGAGGATCTTGTTTTGAGCATCAAGGCTAATGGAGTCTCAGAGGACTACCTACTGTGCAAGCTCTTCCCTTATTCACTTGTTGGGGAAGCAGCTTCTTGGCTGAAGCAACTTAAAGCAGGTTCCCTCAAGACTTGGAGAAGCATCAAGACAGCATTTTAGAACAATTTTTACGATGATGCTAAGTCTGAGGAGTTTTTAAGGCTGTTTGGGTCCCAAGGTCCGAACCGGTCTCAAGAAGTGACGCAGACGTCCAATTCTGGTGGAGGGTCTGAGGGAAGCAGGCCCTTCCATTGGTCTTACACTCACGACCGTGATCATCTGATCATTAAGGACGAGGCTGGGTTGGCGAATCTGTTTCGCCACATCAAAGGGAAGATCTGCTTTCCTTGCCGGCCACAGTCCGGCTACCGAATCCTCCGACTATTTATTCTCCCGAGAGGGAGAGAGTTTAATGGTGAGTTTCCGGTGTTTTCTGTGTGTTTTGGTGTCTCCAATGGTCCTGGACGCCCTTCCTTATATAGGGGACGAATAGATGCTTCCCGAATCAATACATCCGTTCCTTGCACCTTACCGAAGAGTTGCACCTTTCCGAAGAGTTGCACCTTTCCTAAGAGTTGCATCTCTTCGCCCGTAACTGTTCGCCCTTATCCACCCTTTGGGCAAGCAACCGTTCGACCATAACCGCCCAACTAGTCGGAAAGTCGACCAGCTACCTCGAGCTCAACCGTCACTCGTCCAGCTGCCTCGAGCTCAACTGTCACTCGTCCAGTTGCCCGAGCTGGACTGTCACTCGACCTGAGTAACCGTCACTCCTTCCAGCTGAGCTTGAGCTTTGGGCGAGCTAACCCAGCTGATTTCCTTACGATCCTAGCTTAGCTCGCATGATTTACCCTTTGTCCGAGCTTATGGTCAGCTCCTTCTCACTTGTCCGAGACTCTACCTTCTTCTCTTTGACCAAGTCCTAGACAACGATCCTATTGAGGATCGCGGGCGTTACAAGTCTCCCCCCCTTGAATTGGATTTGTCCCCGAATCCGCATCAAGTTGATCTTTACCCATCTCCTTGAACCACTCCAGAAAATTGGCCTTCATCTTATTCTTGGTTTCCCAAGTGTATTTTTCACGGCCTCCATAATTCCACAAGATTTTAACAAATCCCTTGATTTTCCCTGAGTCCCTTTCTTCATTCGGTCAATGATCCGTACCGGCCATGCTTCCACCGTCATGTTCTCCTTTACCCGAGAGGTACATCTTCCTGATCACTTAAACACTTCCGTAGTTGTGATACATGAAAGACGTTGTGAAACGCGTTTAGTTTTGGAGGAAGGTCAAGTTTGTATGCCACCGCCCCTACTCGTTGGATCACCTTGTACGAGCCAACATACCTTGGGCTTAACTTTTTCCTTGAGGTGAATCGCCCCTTTGTAGGTCATCGCCTTTAAGTACACCAAATCTCCTACTTGGAATGCCAATTCCTTTCGACGCTTGTTGGCGTAGCTTTTCTGTCGATCTGTGGCTTCCATTAACTTGATTTTTAAGAACTTCATTCTCTCCGTGGTTTCTTCCACGATTGTAGGTCCGAACAACCGATGTTCGCCCATTGGCGTCCAACACAACGGTGTTCTACAAGCTCTGCCAAACAACGCCTCATAGGGAGACATACCTATACTAGCTTGAAAACTGTTATTGTATGCAAACTCTACTAACCTTAGATATTTCTCCCAGTTTCCTCCCCAATTCAAGAAGCATGCCCTCATGTCCTCGAGGGTTTGAATCGTTCGTTCGGACTGTCCGTCCGACTGTGGGTGATAGGCAGTACTTAGGTTCACTCGAGTTCCTAAGGCCTTTTGAAAAGCCTTCCAAAACTTTGACGTGAATCTTGTGTCTCGGTCCGACACTATACTAACCGGAATCCCATGTAACCGCACGATCTTGTCTATATACTTCTCGGCAATGATTTCTGCTCCATCCTTATCCGAGATCGCCATGAAGTACGCAGACTTAGTCAATCGGTCTACCACAACC